AAAAATGAGCCGAAACCAGGGGGGGGAGTATTCAGTCATGTGCAATCGAGTAAGGGGAGCAGCCAGTGTTCGAGGGTGGAAGGAGACAGCCTTCGTAAGGGGTAAACAAATCAGTTGTAGGCCGGACGGAAGTTTCGCTGGAGAAGGGACGGGGAGAATTCCAAACTTGTTCAGCCGGAAATAACACTTGCTCAACTTGGGGTTTAGAGTGAAGTTCATTTATTTTCTCCACATTCAGCGGCATATGTATCAGTGCCATTTTCCCCCCTTTTCTTCTCATCTCAAAGATGGTTCGAATTATATATTTGTATAGGTTAGTCTTTGCCCTTTTTCATAACGTTCTGATACATTCTATCAATCCGTCTTGGAAGGTACTTTCTTTAGTGCATAGGTATGCATTGGAGTGGCTGCAACTGATGAGCACTCCCGAAATGATATGGATCCATTAAATTTTGCATTAATTACCATCTTTAAGCTGTGTTTTTTGGACAGATCGGTCCATCGTCCGTTTTAAAAGCCTTTTATGTGCTAAAACCCACCAGAATCCTATAGTAAATGCCTCGATTATTTGATTATATATGCGTTTTCAGTGCGCAATAATCATGTAAATTTAGAAAGTTATGCGTGTAACTTGGGGGTGTTCGCGGACCTTGGGCGAGGTCACTCAGGTACATTTCAATATCATCACGAACCCCCACTGAACCAACGTCCGGCGCGCGAAACATTGGAAGATTTTGGTAAATTCACCCTACTTAAAATTCATAAGTAAGTCGTTATTGTACATGTTTGCCTTCCAAGCACCCTCTATAGATCCCTGTCAAATGTTGTTGTAAGTTTTATTTTTCCAAAGCCCCATGCATCCACCATCGCCCTCCTACCTTGTATGCATGTATCCTACTCGTGTGTCATCCGTTATTATTGTGCTGGATTTTTAATATCCACTGCTTTCATGTGAGGACAGTCATCAAACTAACGGACAAAACCATCTTTTGTCACTTTAGGATCCGATCCT